TCTCTCTCTCTCTCTTCTGCCATATCATCCACTTCTCACACTGCATCATATTCATTCTCGGCATTTAAATAACTACCGTCACCGTATTCAGGGTTGGTAATAAATTCATGTGTTAGGAGTTCACTAGCTGAGGCTCGCTGTAATGGGTCTTGTTGAAGACACTCCACAAGAAATGCCCTCGCTGAGAATGAGAGATCTTCTGAGAGAATAAAGGGTCTTCTTTTAATCTGCATTAATAACGCAAAGGCATTTCCTACATCAAGCGAAGACCATGGTTTTTCTCCAGTTAGTAATTGATGTACACAACAGCCTAAACTCCAAATATCATGCGCCTTTCCATACACAAGCATATCATTTCCATGTTTACCTATTGTATCTAGGGCTTCAGGTGGCATATACAGTGGGGTACCAGCGAGTTTCGGCTCATCGGTAGATCTGGTTGCTATCGCAAGTGTTGCAGAACCAAAATCCGAGATTTTTATAGTACCATCAGATGACAGGAGTATATTCGCCGGTTTTATATCTCTGTGAGTGACGCCGCAACTATGCAAGTATTCAATACCTCGCAATAGTTGAAGTGTATATGCACTGACAGTGCTCTGTGGGGCACCAGAAGGAAATTGCTCAATTGTATCTTGAAGAGAGCCACATTCTAGACGCTCCATTAAAATGTAGATTTTACCCCGTTCTACAGAACATCCCATATATTCAACAATGTTAGGATGTCGAAGTGACGATAAATGCCGGAGTTCCCGGCGAATATCCTCGACTTTTCCTTCATCATCTAAATTGATATACTGTAACTTCACAGCTAGGGGTTGTCCAGATTTAATATCAATGGCCTTGTATACTGTACTATTGCTTCCTACACCAAGAACATTGTTTTCATCGTATAATATTTTTACTGAATAAGTGTAGACCTTTCGCTCACCACTTCTATTCCATGTAGATGATCTTTGCAACTCATGTTCACTGCCTTCATTATTTCCTACAAAAGAAGAACCACATTCAGAGCAAAATTTCGCATGCTTCGTCGCCAATACACCACATTTACTACATGCAGATCGAATTGGAGCTCGAAGGGAGACAAATTCTGTTGTTTCAGTATCTTGCCCATCGGACCATGTGCCACCCCCACAGAAAGATCTGTGATTTGAGCTTCCAAAACTACGAGAGGCCAAATCGTAGTCATCCATACAATCATCATACAAATAAGGCACTGATGTTGGGTTCTGATAGTCAAAGGGGGGATTTGTCTCAGATAAATCTCTCTCATACGGGGTTCGTTCTCCTGCTAACTCAGGCACAGGATCACTAACTTCTGCAGTTGGTAGGGAACGCTGTATGGGTAATCCCATTTCTTTTTCCCTGCGTGATCCCATATCTCTGACTCTGAGTGATCCTATTCCACTCACCCTGCGTGATAGTCCTTGTTTGACCCTCATGTTAGCAGAACCCATTTGACCTTCGTTCTTCACACCAAACAATAGCCCCACCCAAGCTTTTTTTTCCCCCCTTGTGATTGTTTAAAATATTTTAGCCTTCAGTATGTATTCTCTAAGCTGTCCACAGAATGCAGAAAAGAGAAGACATTCGATACAGCAAAACAGAAATATTAGCAAATGTTCATTATGTGCAAAAAAGAAAAAAAAATACAACAGGAACGCAATCCAACGCCCACACCATTCACAAACGAGACATAATATGATGATCCTAGTTAACACACATACACACGCAGATATAAAAAAAGAGAGGAAATACTTCACACATATAATAGAAAATCCCACTGCAAAAAACAAAAAAACACTCCCCCCAAAAAATGAGAGGAAAGAAAAACTAAAAAACAATACGGAATTCATATGATCAACTCTGTTTATCACAAACTTAATACTAATTAAAAAAAATCCTTCTGACAACTCCACACTTACGTGTGATATGTTCCTAATTCTTTAGCATTTCTTCCACAATACTTTCATATTCATTTTTTTCATTCTATCTTTCCTATTAAACATAAATAAAAAAACAAGAAAACATCAGAGGGGAAAACACTTCTTTTCGTGGTTCACTTTTTTTCTTTTTCTTAAAAGGGTAGGAGTGATGTCTCCCCAATTGCTGGGTTTCACTAATATATATCAAAAAAACCAGATACAACCTCATAGTGTCAAAAAAAAAAAATCTTCAACATGAAAATGCAGCAATACAAAGTGAATTGTGCATCCTCTAGAACTTCGATCGTGCAGCGATAGAGAGGGCAATGACGACGATGATACGAAAGAGGAAATACAAAACAGCCAAAGAGACCCACATGGCCCAATCAGATGATTGAGTTTCTTCAAATCCAAGTTGATGTAACACTTCCTCGCCATTTTTGGGTTGATTTGCGCAATATTCAGCACCATTGCCACTGGGATCACATCGAATGTAAGTAAGGTGTTTCAACTCATTACGCATAAGAAGTATGTATGCTTGACGAATAAAAGAAGGTTTTTCAATCCAATACCAATAGGGCCGAAGTCGATCAGTATTTGCCATGAGACCTCCTGCAAGGGCAAGAGGAATTAAAATCACTGGCGAGATTCCAGCAGCAGCAACCGGGTTTGATATTGATGATCCAATGGCAAATCCAAGACCAGACGCCACTTCTGTCAGCAGTGCAAGAACACCAAAGTAGTAGAAGAAGGAGCCAGCAGAGCGGTGAAACCCCACCATCCAATACAGAACGACACATTCAAAAAAACAATATACCACACGCACAGGAAATTCCACCAGTGTCTTTGTTAAGAAGTACAAGAAAGGGGAATAGGAACCAACCTGTTGTTCTCGTATATACAAGGGTTTATCTGCATTAAATGCGTGCAGCATAACAAAGGTTTGTCCCATAACACGATTCATACATACCATAAAAAATAAACCCTGTCGATCTTGAATACCTGCAACATCATCGTGAAGGTTAAGGAATATAAGACCCAGAAATACTCCAAAAAAGAGAGAGCGTCCCAAATTAGCAAAAAGATACATATGGTCTCGACTCAGTTCCACCAGAGTCCGCAAAAAAAGTTCTGAAAACTGAATCCATGGAGTACTCTTATATTTTTCAATGCATTCATCGAGAAGTTTTGCTGTGGGGGAATTATTTGGATCAGAGCTTAACTCCACAGCAGTTGTATGTGGGGTCTGTTTGCCGTACTTTAGATGCTTCTTCCATTTTTTGACGAGAATCGTTGAGACATCGGGATCTTGAAGTAATGTCATGTAGAAATCTGTTGGTGTAAACCTCTCTGGACACGGGTATCCAATAGATTCAAAATATGCCAGAGAATTTGCCATAGTGCCATGGTACACACACCGACCTCGCGTAAGCAGCATAATATCATCAAAGTACAGAAGTGTCTCGGCAGTGGGTTGATGAATGGTGTAGATCACTGTTCGTCCAGTTCGAGCAAGAGTATTCAATAGGTTTACAATTTTTACCGATGTCACAGAGTCCAAGCCGGAGGTGGGTTCATCCAGTAGTAGAATTTTTGGGTCACAGATAAGCTCTACACCAATGTTGCACCGCTTGCGTTCGCCACCCGAAAGTCCAGCGACGAGTCCAGGGACGCCAACGATCGTGTCGCGGCAATGAGTGAGTCGGAGTTCCTCAAGTGTTTCTTCAACCCTCTGTTTGGTTTCCTCCCGCGAGGTGCCACGTCGTACGCGGAGGGAGAAGTGAAGTGATCCCTCCGGTGTTGCAAGCCGCGAGAGAATGTCATCCTGTGCGACGAAGCCCATGATCTTGCGGTAGCGTCTGCGGTACTCCACATCACCGAGCTGCCGGGTTCCGTGTATCTTAAGTGTGCGGGAGGAGGCGAGGCGGTCGGAGATGGCGTTGAGGAACGTTGTCTTCCCCGCGCCGCTGGAGCCTATCACGGCGAGGCAGCGGGAGGGCAGCGCCGTGCCGGTGAGGCCGCGGAGGATCTTGCGTTTTCCCGCCGTGTACGTCAAGTTGTGCCACGAGACGGGAACGGCGAAGCGCACGCTGGCGGAGCTGCCGTGCAGGGATCCCGCGTTGAACTGCGCCACGGAGCCCTTAATCGTGAAGCCAGGGGCAATCTCCTCCACCTGTGGGTCTTGTTGCTTTGATTGTGCTTGGTCCCAATCATCTCGCTGCTCCGTCATTTCGCATTCGCGTTCTCCCTCGTCCGTGTCTGATGAGGGCACACTGGGCGGGTCAGACGTTTCCTCCTCCTTCTTTTTCTTGAAAAATGGCATCCTTCCTTATTCCTTCTGTCTGTTTTGGTTTTACTCTTTCTCTCTCTTTGCTGACCTTCAGTTCCTTTTCTCTGTTATTCTAAAAAATAAAAACATAGACACAAAAAATAATAAGCATGGTAAAGAAAAAGAAAATCAAGAAAAACAGAAACAAATGAAAAAGCAAAAGAAGCGATTTCAACAGAGTTCTAAAAAAAAAGAAACACAGAGAGAAACGAACAAGTCAGGGGGATAGAAGATGCATAGCTGAATATAAATCTTACTTTCACACCATAGCGCTTTGCACATATATGTGTTTGGTTAAGTGCGGGATTATTTACTCTTGTTTCAAAGGGTTTTCACTTCTTCTTCTTTATTTTATTATTCGTCACTCAAACACTCACCACTACTTGTGCCTTCTCATGTTATGTGTGGCATCTTCAGCCAAATACACACTACAGACGCATCTACTGGAAGAACAAATTCCAGCAAAAAAAAAAAAAACTCATTTTCTTTTCTATTTTTTTTCCATTAAATAAGACTAAACGAAAAAAAAAAACGGTCTTTTATTTGCTTACACTAATAGAACAGCATTGATACAGCCATCATTCTCCGGGTTGTTTGTGACCTGCGCATACTTTCCCCAGACCACCTTTCCTGACGGCGTCACGAGACCTAGATCGGAAACATTCACCTCAATCACTGTGCCCTTCGTAATGACACCGAGTCCAGTATACATTTTGCCCTGTGGGTTTTTCTTCACACCAATGATGGGGAGTTGAAACGTGGCCTTGAGCTCAGGGTGGGTCACATGCGCCTTTTTGAAACGGAGTGCCATGGGTCGAATGAAACGCTCGTATTTTGGCATTCGTCGTGTAAACGTCTCTCCGACAAAAGTCACCTTTGTGACCATGCGCTTCCACGATTTTTTCCCACGTTTGCCGGAGGTGACAGCCTTCATCATTTCGTCCTCACTGACAGGCCGGACCTTCTCAATTGGCACTGCCCACTTGCCTGCTTTTTCCTTACGCTTCTGCTTCAGTGAGTTGGAGAGCACCTTGGCGCGGTCTGCCTCACTGCGGTCCATGAGAAAACTGGGAAGGGCATTCCGTGGTCCCTTTTCCCGCACCCGCTCAGTACTCTGTGTCTCCTCATGCTCGCGGATCTTCTTTCGGATCTCCGCTTTCTCCGCATAACGCTGTTTGGATGCAATCTTAGCCTTAATGCCCCGCACGGTGCGCAGATACTTCGCTTGTGTGTGAGACTTACGTGCCTCACGCTTGCGCGTGCGCTCCACGTGGTCAAGACGGCGACCGTAGCGCTTTTGCGCCTGCTCAATGTACTCGTTCTGTGGCATTCGATTTCCTGTTCACCTTATTACAAATAATAATAATAATAATAATAATAATAATAATAATAATAATAATAATAATAATAATAATAATAATAATAATAATAAAACATACAGAGCACCATTAGAGGGAGACTGTCCNCGTGCGCTCCACGTGGTCAAGACGGCGACCGTAGCGCTTTTGCGCCTGCTCAATGTACTCGTTCTGTGGCATTCGATTTCCTGTTCACCTTATTACAAATAATAATAATAATAATAATAATAATAATAATAATAATAATAATAATAATAATAATAATAATATATAGATGTGCGTTTGTGTAGATAGGTAGGTAATCAAAGTAGGAAAGTCAAAGAACAAAACGAAAAAAAAACTAGATTAATGAGAGATTTTTCGATCCCTCGGCTTAAAAAACTAGCCATTAACGATAAAAAAAAATAATAAAAAGAGAAAGGGAGATAAAAAAAAAAAAAATACATCGATAGACAAGCACGGTGAATATACAGAAGAAAAATGACTTCATAACCATAACCAAGAATAAAAAAAAAAACATACAGTTTTCACATCAACAATATTTATCTTTGCCTCGCATCTGGGAAAGCAATAGCATCTGTGATCTCTGTCACTAGTGCTTCTATTGTGTTTTGCTCATGCTGAGGGAGACGCGAGAGGTCAAACATAGGATACGCCACACAAGGTGGGTCTACAGCTGGTGGCATTGGTACTGCTCCTAACGATGATACAAGAGATGGAGATGGGGATGGTGAATTATTTGAAGGTATATACGACATATCAGGTGTTTGTCGTGCACGACTCCGTTTTACAATGCGAAGCCTCTGCTCTACACGTGGAATGTCGTAGCTGTTATTGTAGTTGCCGCTGCTACCAGTACTGGGCGCCGAACTGGGTCTCTCCCGTCGCACTTTGCTATAGCTACTAGGGCTCCCCACGTCATTTGGGGACAGGCTGTACTTTCTAGAACGAAATATCATCTATTCTAGAAACACCTTCCAGGACCAAGTGAGGAAATATTGAGTGAGTGGGAGAAACAGAGTGAAGACAAACGAGGAAATCAATAAATCAGGAAAATAATAATAATAATAATAATAATAATAATAATAATAATAATAATAATAATAATAAAACATACAGAGCACCATTAGAGGGAGACTGTCCACAAAATGAAAAAAAAAAAAATGCAAGCGAAGAAAACAATAGGTCCCAAGATCTTTTCTTTTTGTTTCAAATTTCACTTTTTATTTCTTTCTTCTTGTTTCGTTTCTTGTTTTCATTCCCCCATTTCTTCTATCTCTATGAAATTTTCATAAGTGCAGCAACTTCGTCCGAGTCCCTATTGATATAACGTCTTCGTCCACGTGTAAGGGGGTCCGGCGTGGGTGCTGCTTTACCGCAAAGCAAGTCACGAACTGAAGAATGATCATGGATGGAGTATCGCACCGTCGCGGTGAGAGGACGTGGTGCCACCTCTTCGTATGCGCGGAGTGGGAGGAGGGGTTCCACGTCAACTTCTTCAATAACTTCAATTTCAGGCTCGTCTGGTTGTGGGTATTCTTCCGGGTCCAGTGCGTCAAAGACGGACTCCTTCACATATGCAGCGTTCATACCATTCATATCCCCTTCCTGTGATATGGCCTCATCGAACACATGAGCGCCACGTAGTGGAGGTCTGCGTGGTGGATCCTTTTCAATCTCTGAGAAAAGACGATTGCGTGGGGCTGAAGGCACAAAGGCGGGCCGCGGCTCCAACGGCCGTGCGGCGGTACTCGGCCGACTGCAGCGGGAGGTGTTGGGCCGAGAGGCGGACGGCGTAGCGGACGGGGGCCGACTGGGGGCCAACACCACCGCTTCCGCCGCCTCCCGAACTGCCAGCGGCCATCGACGGGCGTCAATTGCGAACATCTCGCGCCGCAGCGACTCCTCCACTTCCAGCACCGCCTTTTCACGCTTTATCGTGAGACTGGCAACACCAGGGAACGTGATATTAAACACCTGATGACGGAAAAGTCCTTCACCCACATATGAAAAGAACTCGCGAAGTGCCATGGATGCCGTACGTGCGGGAACCCCGGCAATAGCTACTACCTCAGCCATGCTAATTTTCACGTACTCTAGTCTAGATGGCTCCTGTGGCACCTTAATGGGGTCTATATTGTAACGAAGGGCAAAATTATTGTCTATACCAAAGTGAATGCGACGTGCGTGGTAACGTTCTACTCCATCTGACACCACCGCTCTTGACTCAATCCAGAAGCAACCAAAGTTAGTAATACGTACGTTGTGACCCTCAATTAAGTGATGTCGAATGACAGTGGAAAGTGCGTCCCATGCCCGTTCTAATTCACTAAGGAGAAACACTTCTTTTTTTGCACAACGCTCTTGAGAGCTTGTACATTCAACCATTACAAGGTTGTTGGTGATTGCCCCAAGTACACTCAACATTTTGTCGCTAGATTGCTCTTCTATCAATCTCCAGCTAATAAGGGGAATAATAAGCAAATGAATCCCCCACCAAAAAAAAAAAAAAAAAAAAAAAAAAACAGCAAATTACCCAACAGGAGGAACAAGAAATAAAAAAGAAAAATGAGAAAACATCCAAAATAAGATGTTTAATGTGGCTATTTTTTTTTTTTTGTGGGATGGGGAGACGCAGAGCACATCATAAATCATTTTTGTACAAGTGGCACCGTTCTACTTTGTACTTTTCTTATGTTTAGTGATACATTCATAAACATCAAGAAGAGATTGCCTATATAAATGGGCATTTTTTTTATTTATTCAAAAGTATATGTGTATACATGTATTTTGTTTAAATCATCTTTTTTCACCTCGTTTAGGGCGTAACGGCAACACAATTTCCTCTGAGGAAAAGGAAATTTCCGCATCATTTCTATATTCTACAAAGGATTTAGTCGACTGCTGACGTCTCACTGGTACTGGGGACATCATCACAAAATCTGAGAGACGACTACTTTCCCGGGAGAAAACATCACCCCATCGCTGGGGCGTTGACCTGACAGAAGGCATTTGTAGTTGCTGAAGTGGTGGACGTATCCCTCGCTCACTATCATCAAGTGGAACCTCTCTCTCTGCGACTGCGCTTAACAACTGTCTGCTGGTTTCTAACAAAGTCTCGCTCACATTCAGGAATGTGAGGGTCATATTCTTTATGTAGAGGCCAAATCCGCTACGTTCTATTTCCCCAAGGTGCTCCGCGACAGTTTCATTCACGCTTGGAGCGTATGCCCATACAAATTGAGAGAGAAAGCGCTCGTACACCCTTGATGCACCAAGAACTCTTGGGTGAAGAAGGTAAAGCGAGAGAGCAATGCGCACCATGAGGACAAGTGAGCGCACTGAAAACAGGTACGAGAACACCACCGCATCTGCCAAATCGAACATCCAAAGAAGAATAAGAGCCAGCGTCACGTTCGTAACTAACCGCACATCTAAAGGTTGACCGTCCCTTGCGCAGCGGCACAATTGCGCACCCACTGCCAGCGGGTACACGAACGCCATGAGCCACATGACCATTTCCAACAGTTCAATCCACATAACCCCACCTAAGAGAATCTCTCTACAGAATGTGAGGTCCCACATGAAGAGCAAGACGCAAAATAAGAAAAAAAAAAAAAACAGAGAAATAAAAGGAGAGTAGAGGAAAATAGCAACAAGGAAATAAAAGACAAAAAAAGGAATAAGAATTTATCTCTCTTTTTTTTGTCTTTTTTTTTTAATTTCATTTGAGTCATCCAACGATGAAGACACGAGAAAGAGAAAACAACCTCACAATCATCCAGTAGTACTCATTCCCATATTTCATACCCTAGCAACCAACTGAAAGAAATAAGGAAACTTCATAAACACCAACAAAAGAAAAAAGAAAACCAGTACTACATAGTATTGGTCTTGTTTTTTTTTTTTTCTTTTCTTTGGGGGGTAGAACAACGCACAATGCACCTTGATAAATCTCACTGTGACACCGCGAGTTTTTTCAAGTGCTCCATGAACTCCCCAAGCGAAGCATCATCGGTATAGACTAGTTCACCTTCTTTTGTACCATATTTTTGATCATTTTCTTGTCCATACGAACGACTTGGATTGATTCTATTATAAAGAATACGAGCGTCAGGATCATCCTGAGAGACGTAAATAAACCTAGGTGTTGGGTACCTACCTGCTACAAGTATTTCCGCATCTGCCACAGGGACTTGTAAAAATTCTTTAAAGTAGGAGTATTCTTCCAGTTCTGCGTATCCTGCTTTTCGCCATGCTGCAATAGTTGAGCCAAGATGAATAAGTACTTCAAAAAATGTATCAAGAAGAAGAATATTATCCGGCTGAATAGCTGCACTGTCCAGTAGAACAGGTTGCGGTGGAGCATCCATGCGATAGCTATATAACGTGGGTTGAATTTGTACAATAGAATTTGGGACAGAAGATTTAAGTAACATCATACGCAATATCGCCGTTTCATCTGGACTGCAATTAAATACCTGAAGATAACCTGATCGTCGTAAATGGTACATAAATGCAGGGAAAAAAACAAACTGTGGTGGTAATTTAAGTGTAGAAGGTTGATCTTTAAGGTAGTCACCAAAGCGACTCACAAGGCGTACAACTGTACGGTCTAGCCAACGAAGCACATCAAACAAAGGGGTACTATCAGCCTTGTGTAAGGCTTCACGTGCAAGTAATACTGCAGCTGCTTCTTGATCGAAGGATGATGCTAGCTCAGGCATACTTGTAGTCGGTTGTACCTTATGAGTTACAGTACACACCCGGGTTCGTAACTCATTACCAATTTCATACTTGGTGATAAACTGTGCATATCGAAGAGGCTGCTTTGCCGCCTCTGACGGTGGGGCAGCAGTTGTATCAAAATAAATGGCAAAGTTAGTTGTAGAGTCCATCATACATGCTGTCCATTGACATGTACCTCCCATCCCTACTTCATAATCGGCTACAGAGGATGATTTTTTACCTGTTCCAACACAAAGTCCAATAACTCCCATAACTTTCCACGTTGAAGATGTCATAACATCCATGGTAACATTTAGGGCCATCTTCAACGTACCATCTTGCCTACGTTCAAAGAAACGGTTAAGTGATTGACGAAATGGTTCTTTTCGCCATGATTCATCACTTAGTACAACCCCACCAGAAGCTTGAATACACAGTTTCATTTCTGCCACACCTGTTTGATCGAGAGAGGCAATGAAACAACTTAGTGAATGTCCTTGTTTAACAATCCGGCGCATAAGAGAGTCATAAAACGCACAAGAAGACTCCCAAAAATGCGCAGCATCGGTATTATCTCTTATATCTGCATGACTACGAATGATCTTTTCACGAGAAGTTTCCACAACAATACCAGGTCCTTCAGTACAGATACCAGATATGAAACCCAGAATACATGAACCAACATTAGTAGAAACAATTTCAAGAATACTTGCTGCAGCAGAAAGTGCAGCACCTGTACAACGCAATGGACGATGAGACTTTGGGACAGGCCATACATCCTGCTGGATTTCGTCAATAATAGAGAATAATACTTGAGAAGTATTGGCGAATGTTCCAACGAAACGCTGTGGTTCTACCATAACTTTTTTAAGAGTTTCAACCGTAACTTCTTGGCTTCCACGCAGAACCAAGGAACGAGGATACTCTGTTGCACCACTTAGTTCATGAATTTGTATAGTTGTTCCATACGTGATAAGGCATACCCGAACTTCTGCTGGTATATTGCTAAGAGCATTCATTACAAATTCTTTTAGTCCATCAAGTTCACTTTCTGTGTCAACACAGGTATCTATAACAAAGGCAAATGTTGGTGGGTCACGTTTTACAACGCTAACATATTCCACAACTTCATTCCCTCTTAGAAGTTCTGATGGTAAGTTGTGTTCATCCATATAAGCATATTCTTGAGGAAATACATTTTTGGTTCCACATAAAGGACAACCCCACGTCTTTGACCGATAGTCAAGAATACAATACGGGTTTAAGATGCTTCCACAGACACACTTCAGAGGGTTGTAGTATAATTCTGTACATGGGAATCCTATAGGGGCATAAACACAGCCAAGTGGTACCACCATCCGTGCCGCATCAATTCTATTGGCAGGAAATAGATTCCAAGACCACCGCGTAACACTTTCCATATCTCCTTCTAGTTGTTGTTCTTGTCCCCCTTGATCTGGCTGCTGCTGCTGCTGCTGATAAGATGCCATATTTGGATCAATCCTTTGAAGCGCAATTTTTTTAATTACTCTTCCTTTTACCCTTCCGTTATTCAAGTCTTAGATAAGACCTTCTCATTAGAGAGAAAAGAGGGGAAAAAAAAAAAACAAGGCAAAGATAAGGAAATATTACAATATGATGGTTCATGAGAGTCTTAGCGTAGTATATTAACCGGTGAAAAAGTTTATAGTAAAATTCAATATTCTGCAAATAACAGAAAAGCGTTTTTTTTTTTTTTTCTTTTCTTTTCTTTTCTTTTCTTAAAAGAAAGAACCAAGAACATCGTCCTCTTCCTTCTGTTGCGTTGAAGGGGATACTGTGTTTTGCACGTTTCCTTGCAGGGCGTCCCGCTCCGCATCTAGCCACGCATTAAGGGCAGCACCGCCACCGAGTTCATCATCGACGATAGCACGAACTTGTGCGAGTTGTTGCAGCGCCTCCTCGCGGGCGGAGTTCTCCTTCGTTTCGTTGTACTGTGCGATGACAGCGGCGATATGTCGCAGTCTTGCTGGGATGGAACTGCGCGCGGCCTGCGGCGGGCCTGCGAGTTGGGCGAGCCACGGCCGCGGGAAGATGTTGAGCCGCGCCCACCACCCCCCGACCCGCGCCAGCGCCTCCTCGAAGGCCCCTCCGCCCTCTTCCTCCTTCTCCTCCCGCCGCTCCTTTTCCTTCCTTTCCCGCACGGCCCGGACGGTGGCGGGGAGGGTGCGACTCACCGCCAGCAGCACCGCCCGCTTCGACGTCTCCGGCACGCCGTTCGCGGCGCATGTGAGCAGCAGTTCGTGAAGGACGTACAGCAGCGCGCAGCGGGTGGCGTCGGTGGTGCTGGCGGCCCGCATCCGCTCGTCAATGGCAGACATAATGACATCCGCACTAGACGCCTGCAACGCACACCACGCCGCTACACTGATGATGGAACCGGAGGAGCTGCTCACAAGATCCAATCGACGCCCCACCTTTTCCTTGTTCATCGCACTATGGATTCTGCTTAAAATTAAGAAAAAGAAATAAGGAATTAGTGATACAAGGAGAGGTATATGTCACGTAAAAAAAAAACTGATACAACTTGATATGATTCGTAGTTTACCACTTTATAAAAAAGAAAAAATAAGAAGAAGAAAGAGTTTTGTTTACTTGTGACTAGAACTAAAAATCATTCAAGGCATAACGTGCACGTGTTGTAAAATGCCTACAGTTCTCTGTAGAGAATGACCATCTAGGATCTTCCTTTCGCATCCACGCTATCATATATGCAACTAACAGATCATTCGGAAGGTCAAATTCACAATCTACACGATGCTGACGTACCTCACCAGTGTGCAGTGGACGCCCTGCAACCTTTAATCCAAGATCGTTTGCCCCACGAAGAGAATTTCGAACATCCATCAAGACATCACCTGTAGCAGGATTCTTTTGGACTACATAATACCGCTGACTGTGGGATTCCAACACCAGCCACTCATGTTTTTGCTGGAATAACTTGGAAATAGGGTTAGACTCACACACCGCATAAAACGTTGACACATGTCTCAAAACATCTTGGGCATGCAACACAACATCTCGATGAATAATAACACGTCCTTCTTTTGCAAAACAATCGCTAATAAAGTCTACACACAATCCACAACCAGCTCCAGCGGCGCAGATACCCAAGTGACTAGGTACTGAAATTCGTGCAGGGAGAGCACTAATTGAAATTGCCGTTCCAAGTGTCGCCCCACATGTGAGACCTTGCCCCATACACACAGTTTTTCCCTTTCCCCACCAGAAGGAAAGAAACCACTTCTTTTAAAGCACCCCCCACCACTCCCCATAACAACAACAACAAAAAGAAAGAAAGAAAAGGAAAAAAAAAAACAGAAAAAAAAATGCCACTACAAAAAAAAAAATTCGAAAGAAGCAAAGAGAATCCATATCCACCCTTCACAGAGACACACAATAATAATAATAATAATAATAATAATAATAATAATAATAACGCTGGAGTACTTTCTCCTTGTACACAATACAGAAAAACAGCAGAAAAAAAAAACCAAAAAATAAAAATAAAATAATAATAATAATAATAATAATAATAATAATAATTCACACGACTCGTACATCTGAAGCACTTGCTCTTTTTCCTCGTCCATTCAAAGGCTCTAGGATGAGGGAAAAGATTAAGCAAGAGAAATGGGTCACAACTTGAGAAAAACAAAGAAATACAAAAATAAAAATAAAAATAAAAAATAAATAAACTAACTATATTAAGGTTCTACTAAATATATGCATTGGGGTCCTTCCATTGATCTAAAGATATTCTAGACTTATTTTGGTCACGGGAACCAGATACCTGACGCGGAGAATTCACCTGTACGAGAAATCCTGGGTCTGTGTTACGACCATAGGGTTCTTCTTGAATCATAATGGGAGGTGGAGGCACAGGTGCCGGTACTGGGTATGACAATGCCTTCCCCAATGAACGACGTTCTTGCATATCAGTTCTACCCCAATGACACTCAATAAAAGTAGTGATGAGCCATATAAAAGAAAGCCAGGTAATAATAAGAGACAAAAGAAAGAAACAAAACTGGACAACGAAACAGAAACCTTGGTAACCACTTAACCACCCACTTTGCACTGTTGCGACACATTCCACCACGAATAGAGGTATATCCTTCATGAAAAACATACCACTAATACCCAAGAGAATGAAACGTATTCGTTGCGACGACTTGTTAGTATAGCGGGCTGCACGCACCCAGAGCACACTACTAACAATCACGTAGAAGACGGTTCCAACTATACAGAAGGCAAGATGGGCTCCTACTAGAGACAACCCGTAGACACTCACGCGGTTGCGAAAGAACACACCGTAGTTAACCCATGAGAATACAATTGCGGCAAAGTAGAGGAAAATAGGTACAAAAGGAAGAATATTGGTACCAGAGGGTAGTAATGACGCTCTGTACCCCATCCTTATTAGTCAATTTATTTTCTTTCTTTTAGTACGTTGATCTTTTTTTTTTTTAAAGAAAACAAAAATACCACCAAAAACAGAATCACAAGAATAAAATGCCACATCATAACTTAACACCAGAGACGTACACACACACACAAAACAAAAAAAAAAAAAAAAACAGAAAAAAAAAAAGAAAATGATCTTGAAATGCCCTAGTGCATGATGGTTCTCGAAGGAGCCGGTATTTCTACCCCTCTCCTAAGCATTTCAACGCTAAGGTTCTTTTTTTTTTCCCCCTTCTTTCCCTCTCACTTCGTATGTGTGTGCATAACAGTGAAAGTGAGAAGAAACACACAAGGGTAAAAAAAAAAAAAGAATTATCCACAACCGAAAGCTCCAGTGGAACGAGAAGAATAACCTTGTTGAATGAAACAAACTGAAAAAAAGAGCATTAACAACTCTATATAGGATAAACGATAACAGAAAGAAGAAAAAAAAAAGAAAAGGGTATCACAGTGCATCATTCTCCGAAATTGAGCTTACCTCAAAATCATCCGAGTAGATGCTGTCAGTTCCGCTTTCCTCTTTCACTGTTGAAACGGAATGCTCAATATTGGCAGAAGTCAAATTTCCACTTTCATCCAAACTTTTCTCTAACCTTAACGTCTCTGAATGAGGTTGCTTTGTCTCGTCTTGGCTACTAGCCGAGTGAATGCTTGTGTATGATACACTTTCTTTACTTTTTTCTTGTTCTTCTTCAGATGGACCTGTTGCTTCAGTGCTATCAAAAAGAGACACATCATTTGCTTCTACCTTACCATCTGGAAAATCCTTTTTGAACTCTGTTACTTCCATTTTGTGCTCTATCACCTCATCATTTTTATTCTTCGCAGTGATTATAGTTTCTATGGTTCCCTTTTTGTTGATACGTTTACTCTTGTTCTTGCTACTATTAATACTACTACTATTACTATGGGTCATTACCAATTCATTGGTTGCATCGCCATGAGGTACTTTCTTAGGAGGAACCATATCCTTTACAACTGCCCCTAAAAATTTGAAACTATCATCTTCAAATTCATCAATTACTTCTTCCTTTCCTTCTACAGCTGAAGCTAACAGTTTCGTCTCGGTTTGTACTGCAACAGGCATTATTAACAGAGAAGAGGATTCATTCTTAACTGTTGCCTCCTCAAATTCAGATGCAGTGAGGTAAGGAATATATTCCTCTACAACTAATGATTCTTTTTTTTCACTTTGTTGCTGCTCTTCATAGGAGATCAACATTGCAGAGAGAATGGGTTGATCACTATGATTCCTTTTTTCGCTAAAATTATCCTGATTTTTACCAGAACTTGTCCAACTTAATTGATCTACTTCAATAGGGAAAACTTTAGAAATATATTCTGAATCTGCCTTTGTTTCATGTCTTTCAAGAGCGGTGTGCGTGATTGGTGTAGTAACAAGTCTCTTTCGTAGCTTCTGCACTGTGGCGATGTGTGTCTGTCGTATAGGTACACTACAACTTCTTGTTTCGATATCCCGCTGAGTTTTCGACGGATGTGGCTCCTCTTTCGGTGGTGTTCTGTTTCTGTTAACGAACTCATGACTACCAGACTTCTTACACTTCTCATGTCGGCGAGCCCAAAAATTAGAAGCCATACGAGTCTGCCGTTCTCGTCGTTTTTGTTCAGTTTTTCTTTCTGCTCTAATTTTTTGTAATTCTCGTTCTTCTTCTTCTCTCTGCTTCTTTTCGATAATATTGCGATGTAGAATTTTGGTATATTCACTTGATTTTACTCCTATACTACCCCATTTCATGATCACTTCTGAGGTGGTGTCTTCCCAGTGAGAGAGGAGGCGTTCAATACGCTCTTGCAACTCCCCACCATGGTTATCCCAGGAGCTGTTTATACTACTACTGCTGTTTTCATGTGAATTGGAACTTAGTTCCCACTCTGGATGTCGAAATCCAGCAGAAGTAGATGCGATGGAAGGCATGGATCTTGAATGAACTATATTACCAGAAAAACTGGCTTGCATTGTAACTTTCCAGAAATATACAAATAACAACAACACAATAATAGTAACAATAACAAGAAAAGTAAAAAAAAAAAATAAAAAAAATAATAAAAGATAACAATCCACAAGACCAACGTTACGATCTCTAAGAGAAGAGATCAAAAATAGTGAATTTGTAAGTAATACGGGATACTGAAGAGTTTTTTTTTTTCCTTTTTTTCGTTTCCTCATTTTAACTCATGGATAATATAAATTTTCTTTCTTGTTTTTTTTTTTTTGTTTGTTTGTTTGTATGTGTGTATTTGTGTGTATAAATAGCAAATATCACCCTTCGTGATCATAACTCTAGAAGTAAATCTTTCAGTTCAAATCAACGATGAATGAACTTATATAAGGCATCTCTATATTCTGCAGCAGAATAATCCTTCTCGTCTGGCAAGGGTAACTCAATTGGAGTAGCCTTGTCAACCTCTTCAAAGTCTTTTTCGCTAACAAAAGGTGCCACGTATGGGTGCTTTAGAGCCTCATGTGCTGTTAATCGTTTTTTCGGATTAAACACAAGAAGTTTACAAACTAGATCTACTGCATCTGCGTCATATTCTTTTAGTTGTTCCCTAAGAGGATTACTTTCTACAGGAGGAAGAACATCCACAAGAGGCCACGCCTCCTCGGATTGGAGTCCATCTACGTCTTCCGCTGTTGGTTCGCCCAGTGCGCTAACTATCAATGAGAGTTGATGTAGTGTAGAATTACCCATAAATAGTGGAGATGCGGTGAGTAGCTCAGCAATGATACACCCAACTGCCCACATATCCATAGCGGTTGTGTAAGTTGATGACTTGACGAGTACCTCCGGTGATCTATACCAACGTGTAGCGATGTACTCTGTGAGATCTTTAAAGATATTTTCTTTATTTTGCCCGATACAACGAGCAAGACCAAAGTCACCTAGTTTTATACGACAATCTGAGTTTACAAAGACGTTAGCTGGTTTTAAATCCCGGTGAATAACTCCACTACTATGTAAGTAGGCCACAATCTTCACTACCTGATACGCCAGATACTGTCGTTGAATAGGCACCACCAGATCGTGACGCAATATTGTGGATAGATCTGTTTCTACGAGCTCAAAGACGAGATAGAGATCTGTATCACTTACGGAGGGAATCACTTTCTTCAGTGCAACAATACTCTCATGCTGTAACGCATTCAGCAGCATTACTTCACGGTATGTTCGCTGCGCATCCTGTTGATTTCCAAAAGCATCAAAAACTTTCTTTAACGCCACTTGTGTGTTCGTCACTGTGTCAAGGGCACACCACACTACTCCGTACGCCCCACTACCAATATGGCGCAATATTTTATACCGCTGCTCAATTCGCCCGTCGAGGTTAAACGAGACCATTTCGTGCTATTCTGTTTGTATGCAGAACAAATAATAAAATATATATATATATATATATATATATATACACGGAATTTTGCTTCAACAGCAAAAAAAAAACATAAAAACAAATAAAAAAGAAAAGAACGAAAGTAAAAAAAAAAAAAATAGCAGGAAAAAAAAAGAACCAGAACGAGACCACTGTCATTGAACAATATAAAGGGAGAAACATAACGTCAATCCAAGTGCAAGAGAGAAAAAAAAAAAAAGATAGAAGAGAAAAACGAGTGTCAATGAAGATAAAAAAAAAAAAATCTCAAAAATAAGATCGCACTAAATATTTACACCAATAATAATAAACCTATCGCAATGAGCGTCCAGTCCCACTGAAGGCCTGAAACCGCTTCTCTCGTGCTTCCCGTGCCTTTTCATCATCTGTCTTTTCTGTACTCTTTTTCTCTACTGGTACTGATGATACAGGCGCACCAGACCTGTCATTCAGGCGACGCCCTCCACCAGCAAAGGGGACGAAACCGGGTTTTGATTTCTCTTCCTCTTGTTGTTGTTTAGATCCTTCCATTTCCGTCGCATCCTTGTCTTTTGCAATGGTTGGTGGTTTGAAGACAAATGGGGTGAAATCTAGACCGTCACCTGTTCCAATTACATTTACTCCCTGTGGGACTATCGCTTCCTCTTTCGTTGGTGATGGTGGCATATCCAAAGGACGTTCGAATTCAACTTTTAATTCAGTCGCCTGCGCATCTGCGCGGACTGTTGATATGGCCTCAACACTACGATCATTTTCATCTGTGATATCTATTACATCAATAATGAATTCTCGGTCAAGGTACTGCAACACTATAGATGTGCCCTTTGTGAGAACAGGATATTGACTAAGATGCATCTCCAAAACATGCTTTGGGTCACTGAGTTGAATAAAACTCATCTGCTGGGGACGTAGTTTGATAAGTTTTCCTGGAGGAAGTACACACGTTTCGAGACTCACAGTATCACCGGGTTGCAGCATGAGTGCAGAAAACATCCACTGAGGCATAATAACAATACCGTTATCGGAGTTAAACTCCAGTACACCAGCGTAGCAAGTTGCTTGTCGAGATCGAATACAAAACTGAAGCGGGTATACAACGTTCATAGTGGCAAGTTCCGCCAGACAAGAAGAGGGAAGCAATACTCGTCCACCGCCATCTACACGACTCGCCTTTTCAGTGAACTCCCCAGGATACGCCGCAAGTTGCTTTCGAAAAACGTCCAAACCATGAAAGGCGGGAAACATGCCTTTCCAAGTCTTTTCTCTTTCCCTACCGAACAAGACAAAAGAAAAGAAAAAGAAA